ATGAACCATTTCTGCTGGGTTTTTGGTTCCTTGTAGTGGAAAATGGTATTTCAAGGCTACAGTGTGAGCGCTTAGGTCTCTGCTTCCCCCCCCCCCCGCCGCCACTTGTTCAGAAATGGATCCCACCTTCCAGGTCAACTTGTTGGGCCATGGTAAATCCTTTCCTTGTGCACCTGTCTCATGTTGGCTCCTTTGGCTCTTAGTCGTCACTTCCATGCCCTTGCTTGTCATCTTGTCCTTTTCTCCCCTAAGAAAAAAGGCCAAACCAAAGAATTCCCCAGGGACAGTTCATGGTTTGACACTCATCATGAAGGCCAAAGCTCACATTAATTTCAGCTTTACAGAAGACTTCAGTCAATGCCCATTGGTCGTGTCTACCCAGTAGTTTGTTCTGCTCCTTGTTTAAATAACCAGAAGGTGAAAAATTCCTTATGTTATTACCTCTCTGAGCCGTTCAGACTGCAAGCTATATTTTGATGAGATGGTTGGGGTCATTTACACACATCTGTTTGAATAAATACTCCTTGAATTAAGTTTTGTACCTTCCTCTCTTGAAGTGTTTAAAATAGAATATATTTAATCTCTCAGTCATTTAAAGAATTTATCACTAATACATTATTTTTATAAGCAAAAAAAACAACGTTAAAGCTTTGTGGTTTTAGGCAGATTTATGCAGTGGAGTCCTTAGAACACAGCAAGTGTGGTGCTGTTGGTGGGAACACCATAGTAAGCCTCTAAGCCTAAAATGAGTGCTTTTTTCTTTCTTTCTTTTTTTAAAAATTTTATTTATTTATTTGACAGAGAACGAGAAAGAGACAGCGAGAGAGGGAACACAAGCAGGGGGAGTGGGAGAGGGAGAAGCAGGCTTCCGCCTGAGCTGGGAGCCTGATGCGGGGCTCGATTCCAGGACCCTGGGATCATGACCTGAGCCGAAGGCAGACGCTTAACGACTGAGCCACCCAGGTACCCCGAGTGAGTGCTTTTTTCTTTAACAGGTCTGCTGTCAGACTTATTTTTAGTAATTCCTATCTTTGTTTCTTGGAAATTGTTTTGATACCCATGTTGGTTCATCGCGGAATATGCACTTAAGGAAAAAGTAAAAATTAAAAAAAAATTAAAAGCTCATCTTAAGGAGAAGAAGCTATAATGCTCTCCTCAGAGGGTCCATTCAGGCCTGGAGTTTCAGCTTCAGTAATTAATACTTTTTTTGTTTGTTGATGAAACAAAGCCACGTGCATTCACAATCCAGCCAACCCAGCCTCACAGCAGAATGAGCCAGGAGTCCTGAAATTATCGTCATTCATGACATCCTGAGAAATTAACCAGCATCCTGGCCTGTGAAATTTTGGATACTCACTTAGTAACTAACTACCCGCCCTCCTTGCGTTTTCTTTTCTTTTTTTTTTTTTTTTTTTAAAGGCAGTGAGCTTCATTTAATGGTTCCTCTGTATTAAAGCAAAGCATAGCATTGTAGGGGTTCGTCCCCTCCCCTTTCCAGAGAGAGGGCAAGGAGCCCTGTAATTCACAGGCAGGCTGGCCTCTGTGCCCCGAGGTAAACCCAGTTTCGCAAAGGGAATTTTCATTGTGGTCCTGTGGCTCCCTGACATAGTGGAGGCTTCAGGAGGCAAGTGGTAAAAAGCTACCAAAGAAAAAGCTGGGCTGGAGCCACTGACGTCATGTCAGTAAATCTGCTGGAGGAGCCCCGCCGAGCAGTGCCTGCCGGCCAGCCCCTGCACTTTGGCCTCGCCTGGTCAACTGTTCTCACTGTTTCCTCCACCCCCCACCCCCACCCAGCCTACATTGTTGTTTTCCTTTTCCCTCTGTGTGCTGGGCTGGTGTTGAAACCCGTAAACACTTTGAAAGCTATCCCTGAAGCTGGTCCTGTGTTTGATGCCCTCCACTGGGGAGAAAGGGAAACCCAAGGATCGGTGGGCAGGGGAGGATTGAAAAAACTGGTCCCTCGTGGGACTTCTCAATGATGAACGAATCTGTGGGGACCTCGTGGGAAGCAGCCAGAGGTGCCAGCTCCTGACTCGGTACTTTTAGAGAGCTTTGCTCTTCAGTACTGGGTGTGTGTGTGTGTGTGTGTGTGTGTGTATGTGGGCACGTGCATGTGTCCGCCCCCATTCGTCCACTTGTGCATGCATGTGTGCATGTGTGTGGTGGAACGAAGAGAATAATGTTCAGAGGCAGAGGACGGTGGAAGTCCTGAACTGCAGTGTTCTGCAGAGGGTGATTTAAGAGAATGAGTTCCACTAGGAGTCCTTTATTACCCATTACTCATTGGTCAGCTAACCCTGAACTCTCCCTGGTTTGCAGCTCTCACAGTTAAATCTAGACCTACATGCTTCTTCACATCTTGGGTATTTCGAGTCACAACCCCAGATGCGCCTGAATTAAAATATTGCTGTGCTAAATCTATTTTTACATCAAGGGGAGTGACATCTAAAAATAAACCTTATCCCACCTGTTACCCACTTTTGGGAAGTTTGAATGCTGTCAAGTCACAGCCCACAGACTAGGCGTTTGATCATGGCTTCAAATGGGATGTCCACATACCCCTTTTCCTGCCATTGGTGTGATGTTTGATTTTATTAACCATTGTCCTCCTGTTTTTTATTTTGCTGTGAATATTCATTTGCAAATAAGAGTGAAGCATGAGTTCAGGTTGGTTTTGAAGTCCCTGCGTCTTAGGGTCAGAAACATATTAAAAGCAGTATCTTCTCCATGAATCATTAGATGAGTCAGTTCCTGAAACCACTACAAGCCTCATAGTTCTTGGCTACAAGCAAAAGCAGGAAATCCAGGCTTCAATAACTTCCTTTCCCAGTCCTGGCTGTAGTCACATCGGTGGTTAGGTTCTGCTGCCTGCCTTTGTAAGCGGTAGGAAGATGTATGTCTGAGGAACAAAGGCACTCGAGTCAATTTACTGAAACTGTTTATAATTTGTGGTCTTGACCTGAATGTGAGGCTGCGTTGGCATACCCTGCTCGGCCATGCAGCTCTGCACACTCCGCCCGGGAAGGCGCGGGCCGGGTCCCTTGAAATGCCCCAGCAAACGCGAGGCGAATGTTGCAGGGAGCTTTAATGTTCCAGTGAATCCTCAAACTTGTGGGCATGGAAGCAGACATGAGGCAGAAAGCTCTGGAGTCCATATGTACAGCTGAAGTATCAACTTCTTTTGTTCTCTCCGTTAAGAGAGAGGGAGGGTGAAGGGAGGGAGGGGAGAGAATGAGAGCGAGAGAGGGAAAGAGAGAGAGAGAGAAAGAAAGGAGAGGAGAGAACACACCCATGCCAGCCCACCCGAGTTCTGGCTTGTCTCTTGCTCTTTCTTGCAGTTTACTTCCTTATAAACAGGGTCTTTTTTTTTTTCCCCCCTTTTAATTCCTTTTGCAGCATTTCAGGCCAGTCTTACTGACTTCAAAATCAGCTTGATAACTATTTTGTTAAACACTCGAAAAAGTAAGGGAGAAACATGAAGTGCTTATCTCCCAATGTAGTGGGTCTACTGCAACTTGAGTATCTCCTCTTTTATGAGCAGACTCCAATTTGTCTATGTTCCTCCATCCGAGCAGACGCAGGTTGGTGTCTCTCCCCGTGGGGCCGCTGCTCACTGCTGCTTTATGCTTTGTTTGTGGAGTTATGGATTTTTTCGATTTTGGAAAAAAAAATTAAAATCGAGTGTGATGCATTTTCATTTATCCACTCCTCTGTTCTTTTCCTACGCTAATTGGTGTTAGCTGGCTGTGAGAAAATGGGATGAACATGGACTTTTTTTTCCCCATTGAGTATATATGGAGTCATTGGAAGTTCTGATAGAAGTCTAAAAATAGAGTGGGTAGGCAAACCCTGTGAAAGAGATAAGGAAAAAGAAGGAGGAAAGGTGAAGTGATGAGCAGTCATATACGGACGCTGTCTTTTAAATTGAGTTTGTTTCCAATTCATAGTTGGCAATGACTCAGGAAGGTCCAATTCTATTTCAGCCTTTGTAAAGGATAAAATAAAAGCAAATGCAAAAGTTTGCCTGCCTTTTTAATGAAGCCTGGCTGATTCAGAGCACAGATAGGCTGGTGAGTGCCACTTTGTTCTTTCTGGTCATTTGTATTTTGTGTTTGGGTAATTCTGTGTTCAACCTCAGTCTAGACTGAAAGGTTCGGATAAGCTGTTGAGAAAGTTAGGCTTATTTTGATTTTAGAGGTTTGACTGAGAGTCATGATATCAGACTTGGGTTTTCCAGATTTCGGGCTTGTAAAACAAAACAAAGCAAAACAAGACCCTTAGTCCTAGGCGAGTTTGTTAGGAAATCACGGAAAATATATTCCTCGTATTGACGTGTGAAGAGTTACTGTCTAAACTTGGAAGAGATTTTTCCTTATGTTGTGAGAGATACAAACCCAATTATTTTTATTTGTCCTTCTTTGATCTGAGAGTTAACTTCTTGTTGATGTAGATTTCAGGCTGGGAGTACAGACCAAAGCTGGATTGCTTACCTTCTCTGGACCAAGTTGTTCAAGGCCAGGGATTGATTCATTAATTAAAATCAATGTAAATGGATTTGTAAGCCTCCTGTAACAGATTATCTTATTAGCAACCACACAGAGCAGCCTGTGATCTGTGAGGAATGTGTTTGTTGCCCTAGGTGAAATAGACCCCGACCGATGGACTCTTTGGGGCTACTTTATGAAACACCCAGTGGCTTTTGTGAGGAAGGACTGAGCCTTGCTTTAACCATTACACCGAACCACCTTTACACCGAACTGTCTCTTCCTGTGGAAAATTCCTTTTAATGCGTTTGCCCCAGAAAGCTTCCGTCCTGTGTATGTGTGTTCTGTGTGCCCTGGCAATGGCTCTGTCTCTCTCCCGCCTTTGCATTCGTGATCTCAAGGACGTACTCGTGTATTGGCCAGGTCTTGCCTGTTTCCAGGTAAGATTCCTGCCCAGAACCTTCCTCTGAAAAGGAAGAACCAGAAATAAATTTCCATTTGATAACAACAGAATGCTTTTTTTCTCGACCCAAGCAACCAACAAGCAAGCTACAGAAAAGACATTTATCTGTTATTTGAGGATCTGGCTATACAGCTGTGCTTCCTTGGAGTGAGGATAAGAAGACAAGATGGTTCCTTTGGAAAACCTTGTGGCTTTAACAAAGGTCAGAGTTCATTCAGCTATCATTTGTATCGTTATTTTTTATAATTGTGCCAGGCAGGTAGATATCCTCTACAGTTAGACCAGCTTGCCCACCTCCTCTCTCATGTTTGGATCAAGGGGGGACATCTCACCCAAGCTGAGTTAAACTGTCTCCTGAATATTTTGGAATGGGGATGGCAATCCTAGCTTGTCTTTTTTTTTTTTTTTTTTAAGATCTTATTTATTTGAAAGAGACAGCATGACGGTGGGAGGGTCAGAGGGAGAAGCAAACTCCCTGCTGAGCAGGGAGCCCAATGTGGGACTCGATCCCAGGACTCCAGGATCATGACCTGAGCCAAAGGCAGTCGTTTAACCAACTGAGCCACCCAGGCGCCGAATCCTAGCTTGTCTTTGATGTTCACATTATAGTTCAGGGAAACTCTCATTGGGGAGATGGTTGACTCGTGAGTAGAGAGAAGCGTGGAGTAAGACTACTTTGCAGAGAGAAAAGAACAGAGCATTTGTGCAGAGCAGGAGATGAGAGACCTTGGGAAAAGTCTAATTTGTGGATAGTTTTCCATTTCCCCTGTGGACGGGCTGCTGTTCTTGATTCAGGGTCTTCTGATAGACCCCTTGGCCTTATAATGAACCCATGTTACCCTATCTTTCCACCCCCTTAGGTTCGCAGGAGTGTGTTACTGTTAATTGAAACCAAATGGTCTCTGGCCAACTAGTTTGCTGGGAAATAGGCCCTGTGTGGTGTTCTGGAGAAGCCCTGCTCACAGAGGCAGCTCCTGTGGCAGCACGTGGCTTCTGCTGTTCTGGACCCCGTGCTCCAGTGTGGGTTCAATCGCAGGGAGCATTACTTTGTTCCCTGGGTGTTAGCCAGCTAGGTAGTAACTAGTGGGTAGTAACTAGGGTGGCCGCCTAATGTGTGTCTCCGACTGGAAGATTTCAAGGCCTTACCTAGGCTTTTCTGCTGCCTGATTTGCCTTGTGGCTTTTAGGTTGTATGGTGCTTCGTTCAGACGTGGCTGGTGAGGAATTCCACCCCCCCCCCCCCCGCACCATACCCCGGGGCACTGGGATGATCTGGTCTGCTGAGCACCTGGAAGGAGGCAAACCAGGTGTGTCATTAGACCTGAGTGTCCTGCCTAGTGGCACCACCCCTCCCTTCCTCCCCTCCCAACTCTGATCAACGTGGAAAGCATGCTCTCTGTGGCCTTCGGCAAATGCTTCCTGATGATAAATCCAATGTGTATATTGTGCACGTGCTTCAAACTTCCTCCCAGGGAATCTTCAAACTCATTGGATTAGCAAATGCATTAAGTGGCAAATGCCTTCTTGAGGAGACCAGTAAGATGTGTGCCCTTGGGGATGGTGTCAGATACCAAATACTGCTTCCTCCACTATTCCCCAGATTTTTGGGGGTGGTGTGTGGTGGGCAGGCAGTGTAAATGAACAGGGACGAAGATTTAGATGAGACTTAACATTTAGAAATAAAATAGTAGAAGCTGTTAAGAAGATAGAATTTGTTTTGGAAAGTCCTTGTCATGCACATTATAGCAGACATATATGCAGTATTTGTTGGCATCTTTTACAAAGTTGAAGACGTTTTTAGTTTAGGCTTGATATGACATGTTATGTTCTACTCATTTAGTTCGTAAAGTTTAGTCTGTATATTTAGAAAGTAGAAATAGAAAGTAGAAACCTGGAGAGTTTTTTTTTCTCCTGTAAATTGAGAGGCGACAGGGAGGGGAAACTTTGTAGAACATTATCGGGACGTGGATGTGAGGAGTGTGGATTTATGGAAGTGCATTCCCAAAGGTCCCACGTCTAATAAAAAATATCACTCATCTGATGCTTTATAGTTCATGTAGTTCTTTCAGTAGGCTAACTCGCTTAGCCCTCACGACAGCTTGCCTTTCATAGATGAGGAAATGGGGGTCTCAGATTAGGAGGCTTGCCCAGGATCACACAGCCAGTGAGTGGGCAAAGGGCGGCAAAGCGCGGAAACCGTCCCTGGATGCCGCTGAATTCGTGCAGGAGGCCTCCTTTGCTGTGCCCTCTCCCATCCTGGAGCGGGGAGGGGGAGGTGTTAGGACAGGGCTACGAAAGCGTGACATGGGGGTCGGGGAGGGTGGGCAGGTGGGGTCTGGGGACAGGAAAGAAATAGTTTGAAGCTACCAGCTCAGGTCTCTCTGCAGTGTTCAGAGCACAGAAAAAGCAGGAATGGACACAGATGATCTGCCCACTGGATTGCAAACCAGGCTGAATGTCTTTGTCAGGCAGGGAAGGTGTGTTTTGTTTTGTTTGTTTGTTATTTTTGTTTTTGAATACTGATTCCTGCTGTTGACGCTGGATCTTCTAAGTCAGACTGCCAATGGTGATGCTTGGGTGGGGGTGTTCGGAAACCTTCCCAGGTGTTTCTTGTTAAGGTATCTGAGTCCCTCTTAATTCTGGCCCCAGGTTTCTTTAACTAGGAAAGTTCCATAAAATTTAGCCACTTAACATCTCCAGGGAGCTTATTAGACTAGCAGAATCTGAGATACCCCTCCCCCCTCATCCCCAGGCCTGCTGATTTCCAGGTGAATGGTAAGCACAGTACCATTTGAGAAGCACAGCTAATATCTCAGGGAAACTTCAGGGGACTGTGGGATGGGGTAATTGCCCATATACTTCCTAGGGTTGTCATATGTCTTTTGAGTTTCCTTGTCATATAATGTTTCCATTCAGAAATTGATTTTAAATCAGATTTATCAACTCTTCCTTTATGGCTTCTATGTTTTTCATTTGCATGCAGACGATGTTGCTTTGAAATTATTGGAAGAGAGTCTTCCACTTTAAAAAAAAAAAAAAGGAGGTCATGATGTACTTGACAAAGTTGACTGTGTCTAGAATTTTTTTGGTGTATAGTGAGGTAGGGAGTCCAGACTATTATACCTAATGCTTGGCTTGTCCCAACACTGTTCATTGAATCTTTTCTCCATGTATCCATACACTGAATTCGTACATGTTTTATTATCTACCTGGAGCCTTGATTACCATAGCTCTGTAATGGGTTTTGATATCTAATAGAGGTACTCATTTTTCATTACTCTCCATTTTAAGATTTTTTTCCCCCCTGCCTGTTCTCACCAGTTTGGTTATCTAAATCCATGTAGTTTTAGAAACACTTCGTCTAGTTCAAAAAAATTTTCAGAAACTATTTTTATTGGGGTTCTCTTAAGTTTATAGATGAGTTTAGCCTCATTCTATTTTTTTTGAATATTTTTGTCTTTTCTAAATTATATGTACTGGTTAGTCAGAACATTTTCCAGTAATTGTCATGCCAGCCATGTAACAGCTATTTTGACAATTTTAAGAATCTATCTTCTGTGGGATTATCTTTGGAGAGACTCTCCCTAACCCGATTGTCCCACCCAGTAGGTATCTGTTCTCTTTTCTCCTCAGCCCAGCTGCTTGTTGATGTGAATCACTACATCTTGTTCATTTCTCTCAATAAAATTAGTTTGTTGATTATGTGACTTACCCCCTAGACTGTAAGCCCCACAAGGGAAGGTTCCATGTCTGTTTTTGGCCAGTGTAGTTGCTCAGTGTTTAGGAAATTTCTGGCAGTTGGTGCTCAGTAAATATTTGTTAAATGAGTTGGAATGAAAGAAATCCCAGTAACTAGAGCTCCTGGCCCTTTAATTGAAGGTCAGCTTTGTGTAGAATTGTGTGGACTTGAATCCCAGTTGGAATTCAGCCTACCATTATAGAAATTATGTATGTCATATATAAAGTGAATGTGTGGTCTTTGGGGGAAGCATTAGTTATCTGTCACAGAAAGGAGGACAGGCCTGCGAGTGTTTTCATCTATGAAAGCTGACAAGGTGGTATGAATTCATTATGGAGAGTGGGGACTGGTGACCACCGGTGTCTAGCATAGGCCTTGTCACTGAGCAGGTCATTTTTTTGGTGAATAACGCTCTGACTCAGATTCTACCACTTTGAATGTTGCAGCATCTCCCTTTTAGATTTTTCTGTTTATGTTAAATTCTTTTTTAAACTAGGGAAAAGAATAGATTACTGCACAGAACTTTGGGTCTTTTTTCTAAAAGTCCTTTAGAGAAATTAGTTATCAATCATTTAGTAGAGCCTTTCATTTTAGGCACGGACACCTGACTTGTGAGGTCCTTATGGGCAGGGACAGAATCTTCATTCATTTTAATAACGTTAACATCCAGGTGCTTGAAAAAATGCTCAAGTAGTGAGGGGCGCCAAAGTATAAACCTACAATATATTTTTATATTACTAAAAAAGTGACGTTTTCCTCGGGGGAGTGCAGTGGAAAGAAGTTCTGCGTATATTTTAGTTTCTGCTAGCATTCTTAAAAGTCACACTGGTCGTAAAAACTCTTCCTTCAGTGATGGAAGGGAGAATTTCTAGAAATTGTATTTCTTGACTCTCATTATTTCCCATCACTCTGAGGCAAGAAGGGTGGGATATTTGGATGGAGTTGGTCAGTCACTTAAAATACTGCTGCTTTTGCTTCTTAGTCCGTGATTTCAGGTCTATATTTGGAATAAATCGAAACTCCTGTAGCATTTGAGGCCTTGAACACATTTGGTGCCAAGGGACTTGGTCTTGCAGATTATAAGTAGTTCAGTTGATTGTTTTTTCAATAAAAATTATTTTGAGAATAGTCACTGTGGCCGCATTGCCGGCCTCTGCAGGCACCTCCTTGAGTTCCGTTCGAGGGTCCGTGGGAGAGGTTACCCTGGGAAGGACAGAGCAAGGATCCCGTCTCTAGCAAGGCCCGCCTTCCAGTTCAGCTTTGGAGCAAAACCTCAGCAGTGCCCACCGGGGCCCCGGGCCCCTGTGGTCCCACCCCCTTTGAATTTGTGTTTGCTTCTTCATGTGTACCCTGTACACTATTTGAAGAGTATGTGTAAGCCCGTTGTGTTTTCTTTAATAAAACTGCATTTATCTTTGTGTGGACAGATTGTGTTCTTAGAGTCCACATTCTTAGAGAACATTG